GCAGCTTATAGCCATGAGGATGTCTGCGTACTTTTCCAGGAACTGGATGAGTGACAACTGCTTTGTTGGAGGTTTCGTTGCCCGCGTGTTTCTCTCAAGTCTGTCCACTGAGGTGGGGTGGAAATGCCTGGCCACTCGGTGGAGCAGTCTCGGGTGCTTGTAGTCCTGCACCACCTTTATCAGAGTGGTCCTCGCTTCAACCTCTCTCTCTAGCCTCTTGTAGTACCGCCCAAACTCTACCTGTGTGCTGAGGACGCACAGCTTCAGCTGATCGATTGTACATTGCTCTGCGACCGCATCGGCTAGCTCGAGCGCGATATCCACAAACTCTATCTGGACGTCGAGTTTTACGAGGTTTTGCTCGTCGGAGGACGCGGTCGTGTCGCCGAATGCCTGCAGAAGTGTGTGGAGTAGTTCTCGATTGTTCTCAGAGATGTAGTTTCCAACAGAGAGCCGGTTGAAGATGTCACGAGTGGTGGCGGAGTGAAGAATGGCCTCTCTGTGGTCCAGGTCGGAGACGCACAGCGACACGAAAAATTGGAACTCTCGGAACCGTTTTGGGGGAAGTGCGCTAAACTTTTGCTCTATTGATGCCAGCAGCTTTGAGTACTCCAACTTTCTCCAGCCTATGTACTGCCTCTGGTTTAGGAATTCCTCTGGTAGAAGTCGCTCTCCTGTGGGGGGTGAGAGGGAGAGGGAGGGAGAGAGAGAGGGACCTTCAACAGTACATGTCACATGGTCTAATATCTTCATGAAACATAGCAGTAGGCTTTTTTCCAATACATTTGTGCATGACTATGTGCATTGACAATGGTTGTAGTTAACCCTCGGCGCGCATGCGCGTAGTTGGTCTGTGTGTGTGTGTACGTGTGTCCGCGACTATTCTCGCACTACAGGCTGCGAGGCGGCCTAAGAGCGATACCAAACGCTTCAGTGCTACGCGAGCCTGAAAACTGGCACGGTCGATCGCGGACCGAGTTCCGTGGCATGGCCCAACCCATCATTAAGCGGTGCGCATGCGTATAGACGCGATCAACATGCTGCTGGCTCCACCTCGACCTGATCCGCTTGCTCTGTTATACTTCGAGGCACAAGAAGCCACAGCGAGGGCGTGGATACGACTCTCCGCAGCTACCTACTACCGTCGTAGCTAGCCGTGTCGAGACTCGCCGCGAGTCTACCAGCGGGAGACGCGGTGGTAAACGCACCAATAGCCAGCCACTATTAGCGATAGCTTACGCGTCATGCGCAGTTCGCCAATGAGTTTGCACTTTCAGCTGCCTTTTCGCTTGTTGTTGTTGTGCCAAATGAGAGGTATAGAGAGATAGATCAGAAAGGAGAAAAATGGTGTCGAACCTGACGTTTGGATCGATTGGTGCTAGTGGTTCTTATGCCCATGAGCTCCTGGCCAGTTTCAAAACGAATGCTCACGGTGACCCACTTCTCCGCAGACATGTCCGACAATACTCCATGTACGTGGAGACGTTGCGCTAGAGTGGCGTCCGCATTTCTGGCAGACAGAGTGGACGAGTCTCTTGACCCTCTCGTGGCGGGTCTGCCGGGTGGGTGCCCAGGTCTGTGGTACATGCCATCACGCTGTGTCCAGGAGAGACCTGGCCTGGACCAGAGGCTGGAGCAGCCCCAGGTCTATCTCCAGGAGCCCTGGGAGATGCCTCTCTATGATAGTGCTGGAGTTTTGGAGCTGCACTGTTGCCACAGAAGGCCGTATCTTGGGTAGACATCACTCATACTGCTGGCATAGGCTCACAAACACCTGCTCTTACATACTGCTAAACAGAGAGCCAGGGCTGTTGTTTATATACATGAGTCATGTGACACATGTAAGATAATACCATGAATGACATCGCTCATGAATAATGATTAGAGTATGGGAAATACTGTGGGTGGGGGAAATGTTTCAGCTGCTCTCTGCTGGTTGTGTTGAATGGTGCAGGCTATCAACCCTGATGTGTACAGAGGTCCGTGGGGTGGAGCCAACTGCAGAGACTCCATTGCTCAGACTCAGCGCAGCTGTCAGTGTGCCCAGGGTAAGGGAAACATTCACCCACTCACTCATCACCCTGCAGTTCTTTCCGTCCTCCAGGAGAAGGTGGTACCTTGTGTAGCTATAATACAACCATGCCTCAGAAGTACATACATAGCAGAAGCCATCACTATGTAATTGCTACTTAATTTAGCTGTTTCAGTACAAAATCGCCTCTTGCACTCAGCATGCTGGATAAGACTCTAGATATCTCAGAGAGAAATATAAAACACTGCCATTTATCTCTACTGCACCCCATGCCCACTGTCTCTCCATATCATCAAACAGGTGAATGTGAAGCAGCACAGCAGTATGTTAGGCAGCTGGAGGATGTTCTGGCTCACTCTGCCCCCAAGGCTGGGGTGGCTGCCTTTATAGCCGAGTATATCCAAGTATGGAAATGCAATAATGTCGTCTCGTGGACACTCTTTGATTTTGAGTACTTGTGAGTGGGTGTTTTTTCCATAGGGTGTTGGCGGTAGTGTGCATTTGCCTCGAGGCTATCTGAAGCAGGCATATGAGGCTATCAGAGCAAAGGGAGGTGTGTGTATCATGGACGAGGTCAGTCTCATTACTCTTGTATGTAGTCTCAACTCTCTATGCACTGTGTGTATACTAGTACGTATGGTGTGTAAACACCACACACACACCACTTATACTATCACTGTGCTATGAGCTATGTTTACGTTCTACCACTATTCCATAGTGTATATCACACTAGCAAGGATACTGTGTATTATGATGTGTGTATTGTGCAGGTGCAGACTGGGTTTGGTCGGCTGGGCTCCACTACTGGGCCTTTGAAGACAGCGACGTGGAGCCAGACATTGGTAGATGTGCAAGACATGTTGTACTGTAGTTGGCAAGCAAAGTTAACCCACCTACAGTGTGTGATTTGTCCATAGAGTTTTAATTGCATGCATGAACATGTTGTTTGCTCACACTTGCTACAGGTTTTTTGAATGCGTTTCCTGCCGTTTCAGATCAATTGTCATATCTATTCTAATATTGAAGCATCACAGTTCATTATTTCATGTCAATTCCCTCCGACAGTGACTTTGGCCAAGGGTATAGGGAATGGATTTCCACTGGCAGCAGTGGTCACCACTCCTGGTGAGTCCTCTCTGTGTACGAGTCAGCCCTCCAGTTGTCACATTATGTATGTATCTCCACGTACAGAGATTGCAGATACAATGACCAAGGCACTACACTTCAACACCTACGGTGGTAACCCCATGGCCTGTGCTGTCGGCTCAGCTGTTCTTGATGTAAGCTCCAGTTGCATAATATTTCTGGAAAACACTGACAATTTAAATCTTAGGCAGAGTACATTGGTATTCTAGACTACGTACATATCGTAAGCCCAATACAAAATATTCTGTTGTATATACATCCAATTCCGTTAGTGGGGTCTTGAGGTGCTCACACTCACTACTATGCCCTTTTCACCTTGTTAAAGGCAAATTGTAGTCTAAAGGCTAGGGCTAAACAATAGGGCCCAGTGCAAGAATGCAATCAAGTTTCAAGTGTCTAAATCTAGCCCTAATAATATTCTCTACGTTCCCTCTACTTAACAAGTTCTCTCGTTCCCTCGATTTATTAGCAAGTTCTCTTTGTCTGTGACTGGCTGTGGTAATATATAGGCTATAGAAGAGGATGGGCTCCAGGCCAACAGCCGGAGAGTGGGGGAGGTTCTGCTGAAGGAGATGATGACTCTGAGGGACGAGTTTGAGATTGTAGGGGACGTGAGGGGGAAGGGACTCATGCTGGGAATGGAGATGGTACAGAATAAGGTCAGTCAGTGGAATATGCAGTGATGCCACATACCGGAATGCTAATTAACACACTTAATTTCGCAGTCTCTTTCCATAATGTGCCACAAGTGCTGCTAGAGTTTGTCATCAGGAGTGCAGTGTCACAGTATCCCACCACACTGCAGGGGACGAAGGAGCCACTGGCAGTGGACCAGATGAATGCCATCTGGGAGACTTGCAAAGAAGACGGTGTACTGCTTGGGAAGGGAGGACTCTATGGATCGGTACAATTTTACGTGCACTCAAAAAACTTCCTTTTCCGTTTATTCCACACAAGATGGCTTTATAAGCTATAGTAAGGTGATAGAGAGTCACGTGCATCTGCGATACTGCTGTCACATTTAGAGAGTGATGCAGGTAGTGTGAGAAATGTTTTTAGTGGTTTGAGGACCAACTGCGAAAGTTTGTCTGCAAATTTTGGAAGAGGGTCCATTTATAGTAAGAGAAGCCAACCACAAAAATTCTTCTTACTTGCCCGAAAGTTGAATATGCACGCAGTATAACCCTGCAACAGCATGCTACGATGGTTAATGCACCCTCTCCTCTTGTGACATTAATTTTTATGACAATCTCTGTACTACAGGTGTTCAGGATCAAGCCCCCCATGTGTATCACTGAGGCAGATGCCCAGTTTGGTATTGATGTCATGAGGAGTGCCCTGAAGAAACACTCTATGTAGTTAAAGTTTTCTATTGTAATAGAGACAAAGCCAGTTTTGCAGACTCTGAATCTGTCATCTCACCTCAGGAAATCATGCCAGTTGGAATTGTATTGACCTGGCCACTACTGAACTTTTTGTGTTCAAACGCGTGCTGCTACGCACCGTGCGCAAACGTATATTAGAGAGTCGGTAGACTCTATATAGGGATGACACGGGTGAAATCTCACGTGATCCGCGTACAAAACGACTAAAAACTCGGTGACAATCACTCCCTAGGCCTTCAAAATATACTAGCAATAGTCTACGGGCCCATATCTACCTATACATGTTCCCAAAGACCTCATACGCACCTTCAGTCGTCCACGCGAGAATTCGCTCATACGCGATTTCACGATTTTCGTGTCATCATAATAATTCTTCATCTTCTTCTTCTTCTTCTTTAAACCCGCTATCTCCTTACCAGTACCAGTTCAAGCACTGATTTTTTCACTAAAGGTCTCCAATTTCGCCGGAGGTGTGCACGGACATCAAGCAATCGTTTCTTTCTTGCCGCTAGTCACTACGGTAGATCATGGAGCTCTTCCATGGTCGACCTGAACAACGCCATTTGTTGCTTACTCAGCATCAGTGAGCCGCGCGCATGCGCCAGGCAGGGGCGTTGTCCAATGCGCTAGCGACCTTGCGAGTTGGCAGACCTGCAGAGGAACTCTAAGCCTCCAGTACCTTCTGTAAGTAAGTGTGCACATTTCCAACTGGTTGATTTGCACGAAGAGCAACTTGCCAGAGTCTGCGCGGTGTTACGCGAGCCTTGCTGGGCACTCAGTAAAAGGGGCCTTCATTGTTTGTCCCCCAAAAAGCACCAAAAAGGAAGAAACAAGGGGTCATTACACAGAAAAGTTGCACAAAGCTACATGACACCATCCCTATATCTTTGTTGTTATAATATTGTTGTAAACTTTGCTTATAACAATAAACAAAGATATAGGGATGGTGTCATGTAGCTTTGTGCAACTTTTCTGTGTAATGACCCCTTGTTTCTTCCTTTTTGGTGCTTCAAGCCATCCCTATATCCCCCTTTCATGTTGAAGAAATGATTTTTCCACTTGTACGCATAACCTTCGATACAGTCTCACGCGACCAACACGCTCTTGAGTCGTCTCTACCCTCGATAGAAGGTGGTGATTTTTGCCCAAAGGGACGACCGATAAAGTCGCATGAGCTTAGATCGATGCATAGCTACACTAAGCAAAGAGCAGACGTACACAGTGGCGGAGAACTGTGCACGCGCACGAGGCCGGCGATCGACGCATGATGCGCGCAAAACGATATAAAAGGGGGTTCCGCCAAGAAACCCTCCTGGAGCTTCTATATACATAAGCAAAGTGCGGCATGGGAACCAATTTATTGTGCAGCAGCTACATGTACACACACAAACACACAAATAGTCCTGATGGAACATTATATCTGTCTGTGTATTGGTTACTGCTGTTGCAATTGGCTGTCGAACTGCTCCTGCAGTTGACTGGCAAGCTCCTCATGACCAGTCTCACACAGACACTTCAGGAACTGATCACGTCTCTGGTCTCCCTTCTGACAGACCCACTCCAGGAGCTGGGCCTTCCTCTCTTCCTCCGGAGTGAACCTCTGATACAGGCGGTTTACCTGGTCTGGGGTCAGCATCCCTTCCACCTCACTGACCGCCTGGGCCACCTTCCCGAGGTCCATTTGCCTCAAGATTAGAGGGGCATTGGCGTTGATAACCTCACGAGTGACTGAACTCCGACGCCGCTGGGATATACTCATGTTTTCTCTCCTTTCAGTCAGCTGGCTACTAGAGATTGCTAGAGATCTACGATCGCTCAGTGTATGGTTCTGAACAAAGGCAGGCAAAGACTGGAGATATATAGCTGTCTGACACTGGTCCTCTCAATAGCCTCGTCAAAGACAGCAACACTTCACACTGTTAGCAGAACACACAGTCGGTATCAGTCACAGAGAAATGATTGCAGTCCGCTAGCTGTATACACGCAAACCTTTTATTCACAGCCATACTAAGAATAATCATTGTGGCAGGGAAACAACAAACAAAGCATGTCTATAGGGTTTGGTCACGGACTCATTTATTAGCTGGGTGCTGGGTCACTGCCCGCCGGATTTTAATATGAAAGTAAAAACCTTCCTTAAAAGAACTTGGTGCACTGGCTATGTATGTATGTATGTATGTACATGTATAGTACATGCAGATGTGTCTGAGAGGTAAAATCTCTGTGGGAGGTCTATGCTATCCACAGTAGTGCTGCGCTGTTTGGATGTCTTAAAATTCAAAGCCATCACTATTGGGTGTCAACATCACTTTGTAAACTTGATGACATTGAGTCAGTCAACACGCAATAAGCCAGTAGCTATCATAATAGATTCACCGTCCAAGATAGTTAACCACAACAGACACCAGACACCCAACTTGCAAAATCGCCTGCCTTCTGGCCAAAGACACTGTTACACACACTCATGCGATATTATATTTCAAGGTTTGGCTGATAGGCGGAAGTGTACATAAACATACAAAATGACCAATTGCGGGTCTTGTATATAGTGTTCACTGGAGGGGAATGACGAGAGACGGTTTGACATGGGCCGGGTTGCCGCGGTACATGTAAAATATCTTCTTTTCAGCTCCGAGATCAAACAGGGCTGCAGTGTCAACAGGGAAGGGCATGTGTGACAACAGAAATCAGCCGCTGGGCCAAACAAACAAGAGACTTTCAAACGCCAACCCCTTTTGTTCACTTGCAGGTACAAGTGGTATAAGTGTGTCTAACATGCATCAGCTCGCATGTTTTACTAGTCCCAAGTAAGCCCTTATGGATATATGTATGTTAATTGTAGCCCTTTTGAAGTCCTGTTTTCTTTCTCTCTTTCTTTCTTTCTTATAGCGTGAGCTGTTCAGTTTTCATGTCTCCTTTTAACGGTTACAGTGATATAGATTTAACATAATTACATACGTACCACTAGACAGTATATACAGTACACTGGAAAGATGCCCATGTACAAGTCACCACTGATTATCAGCACCACACTGCTTTGCATGTCCACACACATACACAGACATGCAAAAAGTAGAGACCACGTCATCCTACCACTAATTGTGGGGCATTGGGCATGTGTACTTTAAAATGCCGTGTTTGTTGGTAAAAACAGTCAACCAAATAGGGGTTTTGTATGATTATGCAGCTAATTGCATACATGTGGTCCATGTAAATTAGAACATTAGCGGAAGGTTGAAAAAGCATTCCTCAATAAGAGAGGGTTGCAATGTACGTGTACATCTAGAAGTTAACACGTCAATGTGTCCGCTGTAAATACTAGAGGTGCTTCAATGCATCAACCGAGGAAGTGCAAGAGGAATTAGAATGTACATCACATGGTCTATTGTTACATGTATACATCTCTTGAAGTTAACTCTTTATTGTGCTATTATGCAAAGGTGCTTTAATGGATCTATATACCAAGGAAGTGTAAGAGGCAGCTACAGTATATATGTATGTAGGTTACCAGTGGCAATGGTGGCGGCAGAGTCGGGGGGAGTGGCGGTACGGAAGATGGGGTACTGGGGGTCACCGGTGTCGCCCAGGATCGAGATGACCCCCGCAGAGTCAGTTGGAGGAGGGAGCTGCTTCACCCTGGCCAGTCGGTGCTGTGAGCTGGGGTCAGTGTACTGTGCCACATCACTGTGGAGATACCTGTGTGCCAAGTCCAGCACATCAACAGAAAATGTATACTTCCCACATACAAGGATGGAGAGTGAGAGTATAAGTATGACTCTAGGAGGTAAATGGGAGTATGGAACATAGAAGAAAGGAAAGACTGGACAACCACCATTGCGAACACTTAAACAGCCCAGCTGAATGACGGACCTACCTTTTCATAGTTCTAACAAGAATTTGGCGGAATGAAATGGTCAACCAACAATCCCGAATATCCTGAAAATGGCTTGTAAGTGGAGCACAAATAAACCCTGAGGTAAATTGTGACAAATTTTATCGTACTTTTAGAAAGAACATGGGACAAGGGATTGGACAATCAACCATCCTGGCTACTTGTATTATAGCTGGAGAGTGCAGTGCAAATACCATGGTGGAACTCTGGCAGAAACAATTTTTTTTCTTTACTGGAGGTTATGGTGAGTATGTGTGTGGGGTGTGTGTATGTGCATAAATTCCAACCTTCATACTTTTAGCGAGAATTAAGGGACCAGTAGTATAATACAGTACCAGCATCACTTCTTAAGAAATGCATATTACGTCAATGTAGAATTGCCATTCTGCCCTCCCTCACACTGCATCATGTACATACGTACACACATGTTGAAATGGTAGTTGTATCCAGACACTTGAAAGACGTTTGCTCCTCCAGACCACACCTCCACGTTGGCCACAGTCAGGCTGGCCAGGTTACCGAGGTTGAGACTGAAGCCAGACGCACAGGGTACAGAGTTCAGTGCCGCCAGAAACTCCTGGCCGTCCACACTCAAACCAAGTCGGTTCAGGTAATTGCGAGCTATAATAATACATAGGAGACAAAGATGACACTGTGGACACTTTTAACAATTTAGTTGATAGCGAGCTCTGCTTACACTGCTATTACGAAAGCTGCTATTATTTTAAGTTATTTCGCGAAAGAGTTTTGTCGTGAAGTTCCTTGTGTGTTGTAATAATTACACTGACACAGCAGCAAATACACAAAATGGCTCACGGATGGCTGAAGTATTGACAGTTTTGGGAAACACGGCATTGACGGTAAAGACCACACCGCTCTTGACATTGAATCCAAAGGCATTCCCACACAGCTCGGCAGCATAGCACATGGCAGTGAACTCCTCCACCAGATCAGAGCCTGGCTGAGTGATGCGGGCATGGACTACGAAACTGTTATTGACACTGATTGTACCACCGTCCTCGTTATGACCCATTATCTACATAGGAGATGGGAGAGATACAAATGAATTATGATTACAAATTATCATGTGCATGTGAATATAATTTCAATCAATTAGGCTTTTCTGCATAGATTAGGTAAAACATTAATTAGTTGATTGGAGGTTCTATGACATGTGCCGCTCATGCACAAAGTTTCAAAACCAGCCCATGGTTTAATAGTTTGGTCCAATAATAATATCAAAGGCAGCGTTTCCGTGCCAGTAAGTACATGTGATACTTAAATACCAGAGTACGAGAGCCAAGGTAGTCAGTTGGGCGATCTCAAACTGGCTTATAATTACACTAAACAAACTTCAGGGTGTGGTAGTGCATACTGCAATTAAATTCCGTTCAACGTTAGGGACATGCAATAGAAAAACGCGTGTCATAGTCCGCAGACATCTTTCTGTATCACTGCACTGCTGTATGACACAAGCATCCGCCTCCACCCTCGTTTCAAGATAGGGGGGAAAGGTCAGATGACTCTAAAACTACCGAGTCAGCCTTCGTTACCACGGGTCACGTACGGTTCTGTTGTCGGATGTGAGGTAGAGATCAGAGCAGGCTGGGGTCGGGAGGTCTTTGTTGGACTCCAGCATCATCTCCCACTCAAACATCATGTTCCACAGAAACAACTGACACAAGAGGGAAAGCATTCGGAACACAGAAAAACCATGCACGGTTTTCGCACTGCCTTAAATTTTGCCATAAAGCTTTCGCTGTAAGACAAAATCACATTGTCTGCAAAGCTGTTGCATGATCTGCAACAATTTATCGCCTCAAGCATTGGCTGGCACCTTTGAAAAGGATATGTTGGCACCGTCAGCCATTCCGCGCAGCTCATCCAGGTACTGGGGGTATGCGGTGGCCACTGAGTGGTAGAACCGGGAGTAGACAGCGCCGCCCTCTGCGGTGGAGTTGTAGGAGAGCATCTTGGAGTTGAAGAAGGAGTTGCTGTCCATCACTGTCAGAATCTGGCTGCTGAATGCAGAGCCCTGGACATATGGGAACATCCACCATTTACCAGTATTCATTGACCATAGAGTGTTGTATCAAACTATCTATTACTACGGGTTGCAGTTTCCAGTTTCCATAAAATCACATGCATAGCTGTTTGCTCTCTAGTACATATATAAAAGCAGCAAAAAATTTGCAAGGCACGAGTGCACAGTTTTGCCTCCAGGCTCTAACAGTTGGCACTGGCTGGTGGTGGCTTTGGCAGAGGCTGGAAAGGGTGACACCAATAATTGAATTACTATTCCTGGGTAATGAGGTGAGAGCAATGTTGTACTGGCCCACTTTGGTTGAGCCTCTTGGCACTGGCTAGAAACTAATGTGCAAGAAATGAGCTAACAGGAGTGTATCGTCTTCAGACAAATAAGCTCAGAACAAATGAAAAGCTGGCCATAAAATTGAATGCTCATGGATGATTTTTAGAGACAGCCCTAAATCTCCCCAGACAGACATCTATCAATGCAGTGCAATGCCAAACTGTACGCTGTCCTTCAAGATGTATGTGGGTCAAGGGTATAAGTACGGGGAGGAACCAGGGATGTTCAAAGTTGAGCTTACAAAATTACAGTAAAAACACCTATGTTCAAAGAGGCTTACAAAATTACAGTTAAAAACACCTATCAATGGATTGTTTTAGGCAAAATAAAAACTTCTAAGGTCGAAAAATGGCAGCAAACCCTCCATCTATCCGAAAAAAGTTGTTGAAACCATTGTTGCCAATGCTGTAAAAAATATATAAATTGAATGTTATACACCATTTTAAAAAAAGCCAGCCCTCCATCTCTCCAGACAGACGTCTACGGACGCAGTGCTATGCCGAACTATACGCTGTCCTTTGAGATGTATGTGGGTCAATGGTAGATTCGTGGGTAAGGGGAGGAACCAGAGCTGTTCCCAGCCAATGCTCTGGACCACCTGTCAGTTTCAGTGCAGGTCCGGGATTCGAACCGGGCACCTTATATGACAGTCCCCACGTCTCTAACCACTTAGCCACTTGGGCTGGCCACGAGAGATGATGAAAAAACGTTCCACTTATATCAACACTGACATATTATTATTTAAAAAACACACCCCACACCCGGGATCGAACCGCAGACCTCTGGATCAAGAGTGTGACTCCTTATCCATACACCACACCCAATACTTGAGCAGGGTAGGTTTAATAATTAACTCTTCTAGCACTCTCATGGTAATTTCCACTACTCCAGGTTATATAGTACAGGCATACCAATGCTACAGATATAACCTGAGATTGTATGTGTTTCTGGTGCAGATATTGACACACACTCACACATACTATAAACCACAATGCGTGCCGAGGGAAAGCAGCAGCCCTTACTATACTGAGCTCTTTATGACCAGCTCACAATTTGATGTCCTACATCATAGTTAGAGCCTTCAGCGAAAAGAACGGGTAGAGGTGGGTAGGAAACCACCCTGCCACAGACAGCAGTGATATGCAGGAGCAGACATAGAGCAGCAAAAGCACACAAGACTGCAGACACGTACGGACCACCCGTTCCAGCCATCAATCCTAATTCAAGCGCACCTACAATATAAAAAGGGCGTGGCTCGTGATGGTGCAAGTTTACGTACACATGCGCATGAAACGAGCGCGCGCCATGAGACAGATGGTCGTAATGGATTTTTGTGTGCTAAAATGATACATTTATGAAATGATTTGCAACAACATGATACAGACAAACAGGGTGATGAGAGTCGGTGCAGCATTTTGGTTCAGAGAGTGTCCTGATGATGCAGAAGATGACTTGCTTGGATGTGGTGGCTCAACTTCACCTCCTAAAGCATAATACATTGAACCAATGTCTAAGTTATCCTTCTATAATATTATAGAGGTTATAATACTCTACTGAGCTAAACTATTAGATCTTTGAAATAGCTGACCCAGTAATTATCAACCTAAATAACTACAGCTAGTCTGTGCCAAAAATGTGGATTCTAAGTACAGTCAATGTAACACAAGTAATTTGTTGTTTTTTCATCGTAATTCGCATACAGCACTGGCAATGCTATGCCCATTATAGGATGGCCACCTTCTAGTAAAACAGGGAAGGTGAACTCCACACCACCATCTCTACTGCTGCAGGTGAGTGTGACAACACTCGTCTTGTGGAACAGACTGGACGAGTTGGTCACCTGGAGAGTCCCGTTCGACAACACTTCTCCTACATCTACAGAAACAATGCAGCAGTTGGTATATAAAATGTTTATTGTTCTGTTCCGTCCCATCGCACACTATACAGCTAGCGCATGTATAGCTGGTCCAACTATATAGCTCTAGCACTCTAATTGGCTGACATTATTCTATGTTCTCTAGCGGTCTAATGGCAGAGGGTTTAGGTTCTTTAGCAGTGTATAGTAGCCAGCCCTTCTTTTAATTTCCGTTTCTAATTCTTTTTTTCCCCAGTAAGCATGGGCTATTTAATTGACTTGCTCGGATTGAAGTTTCCCCTACCTGACTGCAACACACGTCCTCCAATCTTCCAGCTGATGTCACTCTCCTCGCGGGTCTCAATGTGAAACAGGCACTGGAAACAGACGGAGTGCTGCGGAGGGACTAGCACCAGCTTGGCCGTACTGTTGTCGACCAGAATGTTGTAACATTTGCCTGCCAAATAGGAGTGGAATGGGTGGGGTTGAATACATTTTAGCATAATAGTAAGAGCAATGGACAAACGTAGTTAGTGCATAGTTTGATTGCAAAACGCCCCAGAGGTGCATGGACTGGGAAAAGGTGGCGCCAAGTGCTTATAGAGTTAACCCCCTATTCTACAGCTCTACTGGTAATGCTTATGGGGTTCTGGGAATCAAGCATGCTTGGGGTACAAAATCCTCACTGGTGTCTTGGATGGAGACTGTGAGCGAAGGGTTATCAATGACAACTCCAGTGGGGTAGGTATCTCTGTCAACGTCCAGCTGAGCAGTGAAGCGGCGGTCGTTGCCAATGATGTCGTCCACCAGGAATGGGACGGTAAAGCAGCGGCCACTGGAATTTGAGTGGGCTGGAAGCTGGCCAAATATGGAGCCCCCCCTTGCTTGTTTGGCTGAGAAAATGAAACACAGCAATGACTAACTCGATTTCCAGCTCTTTTCCCCTCCCTCTGCCCTATGAAATGCCACATACCCTCTCACCCCACCCTCTCACATATCATTTGTGGTGTCTTGTGGGTCATTACAGAGACTATGTTGGCCAGAAGCTAGGGCTAGTGGTCTAGACACTCTGTTCTTAGTGGTTTTCACACTCACTCCAGTCAATAGAAGAAGGCCACAAAGACACGCACCATGCAGCTTACCACACTTTTTTAAACAAAGGGTATGCATGTTCCATAAAAGTGTCACATTTTAGTTGTGAGTGTTAAGCTGGGTTCACAATATGGCGCATTGCCCCGTCACGCCGTGCCGCGTAGCGTCGCGTCTTGCTGCAAAGGTAGAAATGGCAACACGGCACGGCGCGACGGGCCAATGCGACATATTGTGAACCTATCCTTAGTTAGTAATATAATATTATTATTACTTCCCGTAGGTTTCTATCTGTGTTAATGATACTATGTACCTTATACTGCCAATAGTACTACGTACCAGCAGTGATGGCATCATGGATTATGATGAAATTGAGGGGCCTTGCAATAGTGGGAGTTATTGAGACGCAGAGTCTGGCCTCTCCCTCACTCTCCTTAACTATCACTTTATCCTCTGTGAATCCCAGCTTCACCACTGTTTGTTACATAAAACTTAGTCAGGTGTGGGTATTGGGGTATTGCGTGAGTGTCCGTGTGCATACATCTGTGAGTGTATTTGTACAATATTTGGTCTTGAAAGTGCGTGATTTGAGGGAAATTTGTTACCTGGCACAGTGGCCTAATCCATGCCTCATAGTCTGTGCATGCTTTGACTAGAACTAATGCCTCGTACATGAGGTATGACCCGGCTAATTACCTCTGGATTGTGTGTGTACACTTTGGTAAGTACATGTGATGGATAGACACATGCACAAAATGCATGCTATTGTACATGCAGTATTATAGTACGTAGCTTACTGTCATTATCCAGTATGGTGATGAGGGTGGGTGCGATGGCTAAGTCATAACACTCGGCGGAAGACAGAATGATCCCGAGTGACACCACCTGAGGCTGCTCCAGGCCAAGAGTATTATCTCTCAGCTTCACAGCGACACTGGCAGAGTCTGTGCCAGCCTGGTAGGAAAGCTCTGTGGTTAGTAATGCCAGTGGCCCATTGGCATCAAGTTCTGGGTCTGCAGATGAAAGAAATTAGCCGTCTGAGGATAGTTCTAAAGTTTAGGAAACATCACTTTCTCCTGAAGCTAGTGTTATCAGTCAGCGAAGGCACACCCAGATATTGATATCCCATATGTGTGGAAGCCTTATCAGACCCTATAAAGTGCCGCTGTTCTTTGGCAAAATGCTATGATGATACTGAAGCTCATAGTGGTTGACACGTGTGGTGCCATAAAAGGTGCATATCCAGTCACATCACCTCCCACTTGCCATCTGGACTGGCTACTAATGTACCGTCTGAATCACTCATTATCGTAGACCTGGTCTCAGAGAGCCCGAGACAGCGAAAAAAGGACCGGAGCTGTGATTACATTCCACAGGCTAGCCGTAGCTGTGTAAACAGTTAGCCTACCTCGTCTACCTCCATACATTGTACATGTCTGGTTCAATAGTACCTGGAGTGAGATGAAAGGTTATCGACTTTGACAGTACGCTGTTGACTGCGAGTGAGAGCTCCTTTCTGCTCGTGCCCTCTGTGAGGATGTAGCCTTGCTGGTCGAAACTGGCAAACACAACTGCATGGTAAGAGAAGAAGCAGTGCGGTTAGATTCATCAAAGTAATAGACAAGACTGATTCCTAACACACTGGTGTGCTTATTATAGTGCATAGGCTCAGAGAGTTTTGCTTCTTTGCTAGCAGGCTCTTACGTGGAAGTGAACGACAAAAGAGCATGTATATGTACTTGTTTGTGGCTTGTACATGTACTCAGCCCATGTTGTATAAGAGGCCTGGTCAGCTGAATCTGGACCACCTCTTAATGTGTCCGTTATAGGACACTTAATCTCTTTTCCTATGTCAGATTATTATATATACTTTGCGTTGGTGGATCAAAGGCATTACCATGCCTTTTTTGTCATAAAATTTGTCAAACAGAAACTGCTGCAGTCAACTCCTACATCACATGAATGGGCTACAATCAACGTAATTACCAAAAAAAACAAGTCGAGTCTACCATACAGTCATCCACTCACACTCATCATCAGTGATAGTAATCCGTGTGACGTAGGGCTCCACCAGTCTAATGGCCGAGGAGTTGATGAGGGTGATGCTGCCGTGGGTATCGTTCTCGCACACCTGATTGTCACGCCCCCCACCCGTCCCCAGACAGAAGGTCGTAGTGGTAGCTCCTTGGTTGAACAATTGCGTGCCCTGTAGCGTCCCAGCTCCCAATCTCTGTCCAATTAGTGACACGTCTGCAAACCGACACATGTCCACACATTCAACACACTCACATGGCAGTTGCGAACGAAGCATCCCCATTTTCACTACATAATATCATGCATTCCATTTTTATGGGTAGCTGTGTGCTCTACAGGGTGTAGCCATGGCAGCAGCCACTGTGAAAGGCAGCCACTTTGCTCTACACTCATTGATGCTTGAGAGGCTAAGAACTTCCAATTTGCTGCAGCAATAGGCACGATATAATAATTCCTGCAGTATTCAGCAGGCATGAGACTGCACGAGGTGAGTGTGTGAGAGTATAAGCACTGATAGTGGTTTGGGGTGTGCTTTTGTCTTGTATGTTGTGTTGTGTTGAAGATTTGAACCCCTTCCAGCTGAGTTGCCCTGGTAGCTCAGTTGGTGGAGAGCTCAGTAGGTCGAGCGCTCGCCTAGATAGCAGAGTGTCGTGGGTTCGAATCTCACCCAGGACAGCTGTTCTTTATTCCTTGAAAAAAGAGTTGTCCTGGGTGTGTTTGCTTTTGGTACCAATCATCGTTGCTACATGTATATTATACCTCTTACTCAGAGAGTGTGCTAGTATTGTCATAATCTTATAGTCTCCTGCAGCTATAACCACAGTAGGATATCATCTCCATGTATGGCAGCTTGGCAACAGTCTCAAATGTCTTACTTCGCACATTTTTCAAGTGTTCGGTCGCATAGGTTCATAACTAAGCAAACCCAGTCAACATTCTTTGGAGACTAGGGACCTACACTTGGAATTTTAGCAAGTGATTTTTTCCAGCTAGTGTGTCTAAGATGTTGAGAGCAAAGCGCCACTTAGAAGCTATGGTCTCAGACAGACATCCAGACTCATTTGCATCTTCCCAGCAACAACAAAGTGTAGGCGAAGAATCAACAAGGGCTATCAAAGTGTCAAAAGTGTTGGGGTTTACAGTCGCGCACTGGTGGAAAATGGTACTTTTGCAAGACATTGCAACACTGACTAAAACTCTCTATAATGTGTTTTAGCCTTTGCAGACTAATAATTATTATTATAATACTGTAGCTGTGAATGCATGCATGATTCCTTGAACTGACTCTCAGAATCTCTTTACTTTCTTATAGTCTTACCAAATGAGTAGGAAATGGAGAATCGCCGAGGAGCTGGTCCGCCGACATGTCTGACGCTCACGCATACACGACTGCTCTCGGGGAACGTGTACTGAGCCTCTTCGAAGTGGATCTGAACTGTGTAGCAACACCATTGCAAAAACCAGTCATTATACCCAATCGGAGCTAGCTTGCCTGCATGATTTTATAGCTACAAAAACGCAGCGACAAAACTGGGCCCCATTTTGTCGCTGCGTTTTTCTAGTCATAGCTCGCCATGCATCATGCATTGCCTTACTCTCTCCACGAGCCGTAGACACCAGGAGCTCTAGCACAAACAGTAGTCGCCACATGATCTTGCGTGCAAAACTTGCTACACACGCGACATCTGCTTCGGTTCTCAATTTTTATTTGCCGAGGCAAGGTGGAAAGGCCATAAATATTTACCACGTAGTCTACTTATGTGACGGCTGATTGTGCACATTACAAATACCTGGAATGTTATTATGCCAGAGGATATGCTTGAGCGAAAATTACTTGGCAACGAACAACGTTGCCAGGCTTACAAAGTGATATTGGCCGACGCCCCGGCCGTGCTAAGGATGCAGCCGCGCGGCTCCGCGTAAAAAAAACTGTCCAGCTTCGCACTTCTGATCCCGATTTGGTGTTGCAATTACCGCGGGGCAGCTAGACCCGCGCGTATTTAGTGCGCATGCGTAAGCGGTGCGAACTAAAGTCGACTTCAAGATTTTCTTCAGCGTTTGCGACCCTGTAGTCATGATACTTTTAATTCTACTCTTCCCTGTTGCGTCGTCCTTCCTGTACCTGGCTGGAGCTTCAGGAGAATCGTGCCCTCCGAGTTCCCAGGATCACGCCGGCCCGTTCGGTCTCGACCTTACAGCTTTCGATCGTTCGTACGGAGGCACCCTATACTACATTGGTGGGAGACCTTATACACGTGAGGGATAAAAGATTTACTCTATACCATTGTCTGCAATGTATATGCAGTAACATTTTGTGAGACGTTTTGGCATGCTCTTGTTACATACCTGCAGTGACTCTGTCAGGATCAGGAGGTGAGCAGTTCAGAGGATTTCTAGTACAGGCCAGAGCTGTGGCAGATGGTTCTCCCGTTGGTACCTTCACTGATAATGGAGGCTACCAGGTCTTCAGTTCTTGCACTCCTTCTGAGGTTTGTAGAAAATATGCTTCTGCTTATACCTAACGTTTAGTCTCTTCTTGAAGCCTGGTGTCATTGCATGCAGCATTAGGTTGTTTAGTTATCCGAGAATTAACTATACCAGAATTTTCTTTTCACTTACAGTCGGCAGTGACTGAATCAAGTCAAGAACTCCAGTCAATGGTGTCTCTCAACTGGACAGCTCCATCCCAAGACACTGGGCCCCTCTACTTACTGTAAGTATATATTAATTATCTCATTGATGTCTACTTATTGCATGGTCACACTGCTATAACTATATTATAGCTATAGTTACAGCAGTGCCAGTGTATGCATATGTTGTGTTTCTAGGTTTGCAGTGGCAGGTGAGAGTGTAGGGAGAAGTGTTTTCTGGGCCACGGCTGTCACAGACACACTTCACCGTGAGTGTACACTACCACAAATTCCTCGAAGTCCATTCCCTCTCCCACAAGCAATTTTTGTATTATTAATCGTGTAATCCTTAGGGCTAAAACAAACTATGAGAATTATTTGACACATCTGTATAAATTTTATGAACAAACAAGTTTACCTAACACGACTGTGGTAGGTCGCTGAATGCACATCCAACAGTATAGCCTTTCTCTACATGCAGCCTGTGATCCGCCATTATACTTGCACCAAGAGCACTGCGTTGAGCAGTGTCCTATGCCGCATTATGGTGACAGTGCATCAGGGCAATGCCTAGCATGTAAGCCATCCTCACAAAATATCAGTGACAATGTAAAAGTTGAGGCTGTCTATCATTCAGTTCCCAGTGACTATGATTTGATGTTCAATGCCACCCAATACTTTGCCCATTTGAACTCCGAGACTCCTATCAACAGTGTGGTGTTCTACATGCAGCTCAGCATCAATCTCAACAGCATCTCTCTGCCCGATGTCACTTCTCTCAACTTCCGTCTTTCCCAGTCGCAGCTGGTGCAGAACCTCTTTGAGTTTCAGGGTGGAACCAGTGAGAATCAGATTGAGGCAGTGGACCACATACAGATGATTGACTCCAACACTGCCAGAGTGGGTGCTGCTATAATTCTGGTAGCCCATCCACCGGACACGTACTATCCAATTGACATACACATGACAATTAGAGCACTGCTGGTATCTGCTACTGGTGGCTCAGTCATCGAAACTTCGCAAGCCACAGGCAGCATTGTGCGTGCTACAGGTATGTGTCAGCATGCATAACTCAGTAAAATTACCAATGTATCACACAATTATTGTCAAACAGGTGCATGTGACTTTGTTACTTGTCAAAATGGAGGGACATGCGAGGACACAAACAGTACTCATTTCACTTGCCAGTGTATACAGGGCTACACTGGAGAGACCTGTGGTGAACTGATTGACCTGTGCCAGATATTACAACCTTGCATCAATGGAATATGCACCAGCATTGGTGGCTTGAGCTACAACTGTGACTGTTACCCAGGCTATACTGGTCATAGCTGCAGCGAACACGTTTGTCAAGACGTCGAGTGCAACAACGGAATTTGTGTGTCTTATGGGTGGAGCGTGTCATGTAGATGTGATGCTGGGTATACTGGGACCTACTGTGAAACCGAACTAAGCAACTATCGCGAGTGTAATGAGACTGGTAACTGGACTAAACTTAATGCTAGTTTGGGTATATTCGATTGTGAATGTCTACCAGGGTGGACAGGGGGGTTGTGCGAGACCAAACTACTCAACTGCAGTTCCGACAACTGTGACAGTGGTGGAAAGGCTGATGGCGAGGGAGACTGGTCATGTCCTCCAGGATGGACTGGAACCTATTGCGAAACTCGGATCAATATCTGCGATGAAAATCCATGCCTCAACAATGCAACATGTGTCGATGGCTGTCAAACAGATGATGGGTGTCCCAGTGGAGCCTACATGTGCCAGTGTCCTCTAGGTTTCACAGGAGATACATGCCACGAGGATGACCCTGCAATTACCTTCTGCCAGCCTAGCAGCTGTGACAATTCTGGGACTTGCGTTGAAGGATATGGACCACAGATATCTTGTACCTGCACCAAAGAGTACACTGGGACGAAATGTACTGAGCTGGTAGACCCATGCTCTTCAACTCCTTCAGTTCTCAGTGAAAACATTATACTGGCCATCATTTGTGCCGTGACTGTTGTCATCATCATGGGAATGATAGGGTGTCCCACTGCCCTGGTGCTAATTCTTCGCTACAGGGCTAAAACACCAGAGCGCCCTTCAAAGTAAGTATATGCTATCTATACGTAGCTTGTGCCCCTTCAAGTTCAACCTATAAATAACCCTAGTCAAAGGTTTGACAATAATCACATTGCCATTATTGGTCATTCTGCAGTAATCTGAGAAGGAGGTTAGTGAGCGAGACCAGCAGTGTCTTCTCCAACAACGACGTCGACAATGCGATCTATTTACAGGTCGGTCCCTCCGACAAGTGCAGTTGCAAGCGATCAGAGCAGATGCCCGAGGAGGTACCCGAGCACTAGCCCCCTCTTCCCCCCGAGCCGCGAGCCGTCCGGTTCATTCACCTTCTCCTCTGACGCCGGCTCTCCGCCGCACCTAACGCGAAGTCGACATACCTCCACCAGTAGCCAGTTCTGGACGGAGGACACGCTGGGGCGCGGCTGCAGCTTCATGAGCCACTCCACCTCGGTCAGCGACTACGAACAGCCGGTGCAGAGCATGCAAAGATTTTTGTTGAGCTCTCACGATCGACCGTCGGCGGGAAAGAATCGCCCGTGCGAAACGGTTTGCTGACTTTTATACGCATGCGCACAGCAGACACCAACAATCTTTTCCCGCAGAGCTCATTACACACCAATCAACACTCTATAACGTGGACTCTCCAGTTTGTTTTTAACACACATTCTTAACTTGTTTGCGTAATTGTACTGCGTCCTCTTTTCTTCAATCCAATTTTTGTACCATACATTGTTGCATTTCTTCAGACGATACATGTTCTGATTACTCTTTCTATGTGGCAAGTGCACAAC